ACGTGGACTTTGTTTACCGCTATCACCAATCACAACTAACGACCCGCCACCTGAACTGGCCCAGTTGTAACTTACCACGACTCGGGCAAAGTAGGTACCAATGAGGCACCTCGACGGAGAACCCATCTCTTCTGCGGTGTCGTATCAATGGTGCAATTGAGAAGCTCAGATTGATATCTGAGTATCAGGTGGTAGAGCTTCATGTACTTACCAATGGTGATTCATCGTGGAGGAGGGGATCATAGGACTCCAGACAAGGCGCCGATATGTCCGATCCTGGTGCGGCGATACACGCCCAAATAGGACACCTATGTCAAATCCTGGTGCGGCGATCTTCCTGCGAAATGAAGGGCGCGAGGTCTGATCCATATGCGGCCATACAGGCTCCGCACTGGCATGTCCTACCACCATACAGACAGTGATTGCACCTTGTATAAAGTGCATGCTGTAAATGCAACTACTTTTGGGGCATAGATTCCTCTGTAGAAAACACGGAACTTGGCGAGTCCGTCGAGATCAAAGCACCTTCAAGTTGAACAGTGGAAGATGATCAAGTGTGGACGAAGACTCATCGTACAGCTGCGGAGAAAAGCAAGTTTTACTTCACTTTCCAACTAGTTTGCTCCATAACTGACGATGGTATCAGCGGATCTTGGTGAGTAGCAATGGCCATAGTGCGGGCGCCGGGGGTTATGTACAACGAAGGGCGGGAGGCCATCTCCCCTGCATTCCGACATTCCGACATGACCGATGGTGCGCGGCGTGCGATAACCTCGGCGCTCTACGTGCGTGGCTCGAGGATGTACTGCAGAACAGCTTGCATGAGTAGTCGAGGATAGCGCAGACTTGATCGCGCACAGCATCGGACGACTGGTAAAGATGTGATCTTCAAGTTAGGCGCTTCGCAGATGCTAGTACCTCCTCCAGTAAGTACTAACCTATGATGGTAGAGTGTCTGTCGCTTCGTCTAGGTCCAGCGGTCGTCTTGACTAGGAGACGCACGCCGTCGCATATGTCAAACATGGTGCAGTAGGTCGTCAGCTCTGTCGAGAACACAAGTCGTGGCCGTCGGAAGAAAGGTCGAGGCGCGTGCGGAACAAGCGCCCTGCGGTCATGATCAGGCTCAGCCTGACAGCCTGAGCGGTGTATCTGTCCATTAGAGCACGTGCACAGGCCGCAGCGACTCGGTGGTATACGTCCTCGATCGCGTCGGAAATATGCGATGCGGCGCTTTACGGTGGAGGGCTTCTGTGTACAGCCCCGGGCCCTGCACGTCGTTGCGTGTCCTACACCCCGAGCTAAGTTACGTGAAGCCGTGCGTCTGAGTCCCCTACACGCAGCTGCTGTTCACCCCGCCCTGCCATAGTCCTCTCGCTCTCTCGGCCCCGTTGCATCTCTCTATGCTAGATTGATCAACATCCGACGCCGTCATGGACCCGTCCGAGGTACGCACTATCATTTTCGCTGGCAGAGCAGGAAGACTGACTATATCTCTGTTGCATCCGTGTATTGTATAGCAGTCGATCCCGTCAAGGCGCGTCCCTCGTCAAGCTCGAGATCAGTCAAGGGTACCACGAGCAGTTCCTCATGCGCCGACGAGGCACTCAGAGGATAGCGACTAAGTTGTATCACGGACGACCACGCGACCGTCATCGCGTGCCTCGTGTGGGTGCTGAGCAACAACGTCGGCAGGTCGAGCGGTGATTGAGCAGAGGGTGCCAGACCGGGGTGGGATCGCTTCTGTTGAGGTTGGGGCGAGAGGGCGGGCTGGGGCCGACGATCTCCAACGCGATCTTGGCTCGCTGGCTTGGTGTCGGTGGCCGACGTCGAGACAGGTTGTTGAGACCGACGACCGCAACACGAAGATCGACCGGCAGGAGGTTCCGCGAGACGGGAACTTGTAATATGCCACTCTCCAAGCATCGACTGTGCTCACACCGTGCTGCGAATGAAATCATTTTGGATCAAAACGTCTCGCGAAATGGACATGGAGCTCGAAGACGAAGGCGGTACCGTGATCGGGGGTTCTCGCCGGATTTTCTGAAGCATGGCAGTGACGCTCGTGCGGCGTGCATCTGTTCGGTCGATGCAGACTGACACGATACAGCCAAATCTGAAACGAGCTCACCATCGCACCTGTGTTAAGAGAACCCACGAACTAGCTCAACGCGTGCTTTGTCGTAGACTCGTACATCGCGCGGACCCGCCATGAGCTCGCAACTTCACGAAGCTCGAGTGCTCCACAGCATTCATGACTACCCAGCAAAAGAGCATCGGTCTTGCAATATAGATAGATCACGTATATGATCACATACGATCTGAGGAACGTTATCCGTCCACTGACAAGCAGTGCCACACCGTCTTGCCTGCAATGCTCGCACGAATGGATCATCGTCGATGCACCCCGATGTTTGCCTGCCCGGAAATGAGGCGTTCACCCATCTATCTGGGCCACTCGAGGGTCAGCTTCCGAGGTTCCAAAGGACAGCAGATGACCAGAAGTCCACAGAACTCACCTTCGAATACACCGCAGCCTATGTAGGTCGGGAGCTATAGCGTACCGTTGTCCAGAACTTTTTCACTGGCATCTGTTGTACCCACGATGCTTGCCTTGCACAGCGTCGTCGCCGTTCATCCTTGCACAGCGAAGGACCGCAGTCTCTCCCACGGCTCACCATCGCAGATACATGAGAAGAAGAGAACCGGATGTCAGACATTGCACCCGCAATACACATCTTCAAACTCAACTTCGTCATTCCACGAAGCCTCGAAGCTGTTCAGATACAGATGTCAGTTACCGCATTTCTCCTATTGGCGAGAGGCTCCTCCCCATCCGCCTTCGGATGTAGACACATCTGTCTACGTCTTCACATCCATATCTCTGCTGCATCGCCCGCACGAGGCATCTACGATGACCACATGCATTCAAAGGCGGCCGGATATCTGCTTCGAGGTGGGAGCTGTGCGGATCACAGACGGGTTCTTCATTTAACGTGAGTTGAGTAGAAGCACTCACACAGCATAACTTGAATGCGTGTCGAGTAACTGTTGGCCACGCGCAATGACCTGTAATCGGGACACCTCACCAGGCGTGACTTGGGTGTGACGATCCTTAACGCCGCCCAGACGCAGGCGTAAAGCTGAGACAGCTCACCTCAATCCCTCCGTCGAGAGGGATCGCTGGGTCGCCTCATGTTTGGCGGCCCATTGCACGCGCACCCCCATTGGACTCTACTACTTGCCAACCGAACATCCCATTGCTAGTGCATGTATGCAGACCGCCATCGTTGCAGAGTACGACAGCCCACCCATCAGTCAATACAGAAAAGGCAGCATATAAAAGGCAGCCAGACGAGGAAGTAGTAACGACCGTCATGACGGTATTGGCAGCGCGGAAGCGGAGAGGTCTGAAAAGACAGTACCGACGATGCCAGTGCCATCGCAGCACTGGCGCCGGAGCCAACACCGCCAGCGGCGGAGGTGGCTATCTGCAGGGAAGAGAAAGACATCATGATGGGCAGGATGACGTGTTGCAGATATATCGCGACGGACCGTATCCTCGAGTTTGCCATCTCTTCTCCTGTCCGGCGCCCTGCTGCAGCCCATCCAAGTTGACCGGATGCGCCACATGCTGGTCGTTGCCCGCGTACAACGCACCGAATGGACGGTTGACAGGCTTCGCCGCGGGGCGCGGGTGCACCGCATACGGCTGCGACGAGGCGACTCGGAGGCGTACACGGGCTGGTACGCGGGCGAGGCAATGGACATGTGTGGGGAGACACGGGCGAGGCGAAGCCGTCGAGCTTCGCGACACTCTTGGAAGAAAGAAACCCCAGCAGCCGCAACATCGGCCAGTCCACCAATCAGCCTTCATTTCGTCGATAAATGTCGGAGAACGAGTAATGGAGATGTGGATATGCGCTACGAGAACGTCGACGTTCGCGCGAGGATAAGCGCAGGACTCTCAGTCCGCGGGCATTGGTAGTGGCGGATGCAGTGAGGGACGTATGCATTGCAGTGAAGAAGGCGGGACTCTCCTTGGCTTCGTACCACCACCTTCGGCGATTTTCCCACGGTCGATTAGGCCAACCGGGAAGCACGACCGAAGACAAGTGGACTTCTAGCAGGGCATACACTGCCCAACTTTCAACAATCCATACTCCGTATTGACCTACTTGCTCATGGCTGACAATGGAAAGAAGTCAACACCAAAGACGACAGACAGAACGAGTACGACGCGGCCTCCGGCGTCCAAGGCACCCAGCATGTCGACCAGAAGCTCTCAAGTAGCAGCGAGCGACAATCCTACCGTACGACCGTTTGACACCGAACAGGCCATCAAATACCTGTCGCAATGGTCTCTCGTACCTGACGAAGTAGAACCGAATACGGAAACACTTGCTAATGGACTGCTTTTGCTAGCGCACAAGAGCAACTCAACGTTCGTCACCGACGGCCTCCGTGCTCTCGCAACCTACGCACGGCTGATCACTGCGAACGAAATTGCAAGTAAAGTGCGAGACGACCTCCTCGTCACGCTGAAGGCGAACGAAAACCAACACTCACGGCTCGACGACCTAGTGGAGCGATGCGAGCAATCAGGACAGGAGATGTTTGGAACGGCGAACAGGATCGTAAACGAGGTGAGCAAACTATCTAAGACTGTTGAAGACGCCTCGCGTCTACGAGCGAAGCTCGAGGAAACAGTTAAGAAGGCGGACGAGACCATCGCATCCGCGCAGACCAGTGTATCGAACGCCGCTGAACGTCGTCCCGACGAGCGTGCCGCAGAGGGAATACTAGAACCTGGCGAGATCAGGAACCCTACATATGCCACTGTCATCAACCATGCCCTCCCAACCTCGCATGCGTCGACGCTTGCTACGCAGACACTGCGAGAAAAGCAAGTTTTAGTGGACGGAATTATCACGCGACATGCAGAGGGACTCACACTCTCCGAGGGAGATCTACTCGAGAAGGCCAAGGTGGCCATAGACCTGATGCGCGAGCGCGACATCATAATCCCAGAGGGACTGCACTTCAAGTCGTCGCGTATCATGCCCAACGGAGGAGTCATCTACGAGATGAACTCCGCCGAATCTGCACGGTGGCTCAGGCGTATCACCACCGCAGAAATGTTCGCTGCCACCATGGGCGGCGAAAACGTCACCGTACGAGAACGATCGTACCCGGTCTTCGTCGAATTCGTACCTATCCATTGTGACCTTACTGACCCCTACGCGCTCATCGAGTATGCGAATGCCAGTAACATAGAGAGTGGAGCACTCACCAGTGCCAAATGGATCAAGCCCGAAGCACGTCGAACCGAACGCCAAACAGTTGCTCATGCGATCTTCAAGTTCAACTGTCCGCGAGCTGCCAACCATGCCATCCGGCATGGGATGATCATACGAGGAAAAAAGGTATATGCCCGAAAACCGGAACAAGAACCCCGTCGCTGTCACCGTTGCCAGAAGGTCGGAGCTGATCACAACGCTAAGGACTGCAAGAAACCGCAGGTATGCGGTACCTGCGGCCTAGGGCACGACTCCCGTGACTGCACAGTCGAGGACCCGAAGTCCTTCCACTGCGTAAACTGCGACGTGGATGGACACGCTGCGTGGTCCCGGAAGTGCCCCCACTTCGAGACGGCGAGGAAACGCAGGCTCGAACGCTCCAAGGAGAGCCTGTACAGGTACTACCCGACTGCTGACGACCCCTCGTCCTGGGAGCTCGTCCAAGAAACCCCGGCAACCAACCCGAATCCCGCATACCCACCGATGTACCAGCGTCAGACACAACCTGACCGATGGGACCATGAGCCCTGGCGCCCGACGGGCCGCCATGGACACCACTCAGGCGACCGCAACTCCTCACGCCAACGTCCAGAGCAGCCCACAAACAACGCGAACACCACACCAGTCGGACGCCCAAGCCAAGCGGCCCGCGCTGCTCATTCCCGGGCTCAGAATCCTGCTCGCCAGACCACCCTAGACGACATGCGCTTCGGCTCGCGTCCTGCGTCCGCGCAAAACATTCGGGGGACAAACTGGGCTGACGATCATGACTAACACACGGCGACCAATGCTCCACGACTTGCGACTACTCTCCATCAACTGCAACAAATCACTCGACGGACAACTAGCCCTTCTCAGCAATATCCGTTCTGCTACTCACCACTATGACCTCATTCTTATACAGGAACCTTGCCTACCGAACGTAAACGGCTTACGACTTACACGAGCGACGCCAGACTGGCGAGTCATATACCCATCATGCCACCATGACACCACTCGGCGAACCCGCTCTGTCATCCTTGTCAATCGCAAGGTTGCGACTGACGCTTGGACAAGCATCCCCACCGACAACCCAGATGTAACTGCGATAACCCTCGACACGTCGAAAGGTAAAGTCCATATTTTCAATGTATACAATGATCAGACCCACGACAACAACACACGAATGCTCACCCGTCTCACCACGACGCTCAACCGCAGACACCCAGGCAGCCATGCACTATGGATAGGGGACTTCAACCGACACCACCCCCTATGGGATGAACCACGCAACGTCCACCTCTTCGAAGAGCACTACCTCAATGCGGCGCAACACCTACTCGACTCGCTAGGCGAACACGAGATGGAGATGCTCCTCCCAGCTGGCACGCCAACCCTACAAGCCAACAACAGCAAGAACTTCACTCGACCGGACAACGTCTTCGGCTCGCACGAATTAGGTAACACCGTATTGTCATGTTCAGTCTTCCCCGACCTACGTCCACCATTGACTGACCACTTCCCTATCGAGTTGCACCTCGACCTATCTACGCCAGCGACAGTGCTACCGAGTAAGTACAATATTCGCATGACTGACTGGGATACCTTTAGGAAAGCACTTGAACATGAGATAGCGAGGCGGAGCATTCCCTGCACCCGAATCGCAACAGTTGAAGACTTCGACCAGCGTCTCCAAGACCTAACAGATGCAATCCAACAGACCATGCGCCAAGAGATCCCAGAGACTAAACCGTCACGGTATGCGAAGCGATGGTGGACGAAAGATCTCGAGAAGCAGCGCGTAGAAGTCCAACGACTCAACAAACAGTCATTCATACTCCGTGAGTACCCTGCCCATCCTGCACATGCAGAGTACAAAACCGCACGCAATCGATATATCGATGTGATTCGAGCGACAAAGAAGGAGCACTGGGAAACCTGGCTAGAGTCTGCCACGTCGCAGACAGTCTGGACGATAGGGAAATACATACAGATGGGTGCTACTGACGGTGGACAGGCACGTATTCCAGATCTCAAGAAACCAGATGGTACGGGCACTGTGTCCGGAAATGTAGAGAAGAGCCAAATCCTCTATGGCGCCTTCTTTCCTCCCGAATGCCCCCCTCCAGACATCCCTCCTACCCACGAATACCCTCCACCTCACTTCCCCACTCGCCCTGTCTCCGATGCACAGATCCGCGATGTTATTCAGAGACTCAAGCCGTGGCGCGCACCAGGCCCAGATGGTATACCCAATGACGTCTACCGCCACTGTGCCGACCTCCTCATCCCGCTGCTTGGCCCACTCTATCGCGCGACCTTCGAATTGAAATACTTCCCGGCTGCCTGGAAGGAAGCGAAGACAGTGGTCCTTCGCAAACCTGGTCGAGATGACTACCAACTCCCAGGATCCTACCGCCCTATAGCCCTCATGAACTGCATGGGGAAGATCTTATCTGCGTGTGTCATCGAGTCCCTGAAGTTCGAACTCGAGACGAGATCCCTACTCCCTAATACCCACTTTGGTGGCCGTCCCGGCCGCAGCGCCACCGATGCGATCATGCTCCTAGTCACCACCATCAAAGACGCATGGCGGAACGGCCTCAAAGCCTCCACCCTCTTCCTCGACGTCAAAGCTGCCTTCCCCAGCGCGAGCCCAGAACAACTGTTTCACGATATGCGTGACTTGGGAATCCCAGACGACCTCGTAGACTGGTACCGACGTAAAATGGATGGACGGACTACCGTCCTCCTCTTTGATGATTACCAGTCCAAGCCATTCATCCTCCGTAGAGGGATCAACCAAGGTGATGCCGACTCGGGTGACCTGTACAACATCTACAACTCGCCGCTCCTACGATCAGACATCAAGAGGGTCACGACCTCCGGCTTCATCGACGATGTCGCTGTCACTGCAGTAGGAAAGACCTTCCGTCGCACGCACCAGCTTCTTCGGCAATACATGGAAGACAAACGCCCTGGCCAGAGCGCACTCCACTGGTCAGCAACCCGACACTCTGCGTTCGAGATGAACAAACTCGCACTGCTCAATCATGACCCGGCAGGCGACGACGAGGGTCCCGCCCTCCGACTGTCGCAGCAGACCATCCCAGCCTCGAACTTCACCAAATACCTCGGTGTCATCGTCGACCGACAATTGCGATGGAAAGAACACACTGCCCGTGCACTCGCCAAAGGGACGACGTGGCTCAACCTCTTCAGACGCATCGCCAAACCTACCCAAGGCGTTGTTTTCCGGTACATCAAGCAACTCTACCTCTCTATCCTCGTCCCACGGATGCTCTATGCTGCGGAAATATGGCTCACTCCCACCTACGACATCCCAGGCAAATCACGCCGTCATGGCTCGGTTGGCGCAGTCCAACGCCTATCACGGGTCCAGAGACAAGCCGCGCTATTGATCACAGGTGCGATGCGAACTACGGCATCAGACGTACTCGACGCGCATGCGAACCTACTTCCCTTTGACCTTCTTGTTGACCGTGTTACGATACAGGCTGCTACTAGGTTACTTACATTACCACCTTCCCACCCACTATACGATAGAATCCAGGATGCGCGCACCCCCGTGAATCATCATAAGTCCCCCCTCCACGAGCTCACTCAAGCCCTTCGGCTCGACAGATGCCGAAATGTCGAACACATCCAGGCGACTCGGCAGCCTCCAGGCTGGATGCCGAGGCATGCAACGGAGATTGCGGACAACAAAGATGTGGCAGAAGAAGAGGACCGTACCTGGCAGGCGAAGGACATCCCGGCAGTCTACACAGACGGCTCTGAAATCGACGGCGGAGTAGGAGCCTCAGCAGTCCTCTACATCCCCAATGACCCACGACTACACATCTTCAGATACTACCTCGGGTCAGCGACACGACACACAGTGTACGAAGCCGAAATCGTCGGGATCATCATGGGAATGGAACTCCTCACACAACTCGCACACCGTCTCGTCCAAACATCCTGCGCTGCCGACAACACGCCATGCCTCCGAGCCTCGCGAACGCGCTCCCGCCAGCCCGGCCACTACCTCCTCGACGCCCTACACCAATCTATCAGTGCCTTCTATGATGCACACCCTGACGCGCGGCTCACACTTCGCTGGGTCCCAGGACACCGCGGAATTGACGGCAATGAATGCGCAGACGAGGAAGCCAAGAAAGCCGCAAGGGGCGACAGTAGCCCGCCAGGCGATCTCCCCGAGTTCCTCCGCTCCACACTCCCGTCCAGCATATCCGCGATCCGCAGACATCTCCTCGAGCAAATCAAAGCAGCCGCTGTCCAAAGATGGAAAGACTCACCTCGTTTCGAGGCCCTGGCCCGTATCGACCCCGACATGCCATCGAAAAAGTTCTCCAAACTTGTCGCACCTCTACCTCGCCGCCATGCGAGCCTCCTCATCCAGCTACGTACTGGACACGCGCCGCTCAACTACCACCTCCATCGCATTCGCCGATCCGACACCGCACGATGCCCCGCATGCCGAGCCCACCGAGAGACCGTGCGCCACTTCCTCCTTGAGTGCCCGGAATACAAGCCACAACGCGACTGGTTACGACGCGAGATTGGAAGCAAAGCCCACTCGCTCAAACACCTGCTCTCGCAGGCCGACACCATCCGCCCACTTTTCCGCTTCATACATGCCACTGGCCGCTTCGACCGCACCTTCGGAGGACTTGACCTACCAGCCGAGGAGGACGACGACTGATGACCCACTACCCCTCACACGCGCGCATCCACGATACCCCACTATGAACCATCGCAAACGAACACTATACATTGTACATGGACTATACAACAAGGACTAATCACTCTACTGTACATACATCATAGCCCCTTACGATAATCCATCCCAACTGGCAGAGTGGTCTCTACGGAGATACACCGAGCCAATGACTAGTTAGACACAATCGCTTCGAACTTAGTAGTATAGTACATGTGTATAGTTAGAGTCTACATAGGGCTTCGCCCTCAAATGACCATAAACGGGATTACCAACCAACCAACCAGTGAAGAAGGCGTACAACGAGACGATGGCCAAGAAGTAGGCAAGGATGAGTGAGGACCAAGTACACGAGCTCAATTGGTCGAGGCGGACTACTTACCTGCGCGGAGCTTGTGCCCGGGAAATCTGCGTAATCACCATAGACTCCGAGAGAGTACTTGTGAGACGCAACTCACGTCATTGAGAGTCGCTCCGCTCGCCGCCGACCGGGGTCCAGCCTCCCGTCCGACCTCCACCCTCCACTGGTGACTGGCATGTCCTCCATATACTAGTACTTACCAACGTCCGCATGCATGGCGTGCCACAATCCCCGCATTCTCCGCGGTGCGTCTACCGTTGATGTTCTGCGGAGGAATGATGACCGGTCGAGCATGGCGCAGACGCACAATCCGACGAGGAGGCCAAAAGGAGGGTCCAAAGCTGCAAACGTCCGGTAAAGATGCAATCTGCGGCGCTCAGCGGACGCTAAATTTACTTCCGAGTTACTTCCGAGGCTCACGCTCAACCGCACGTCCTTCTCTTTCCTTCACAGTTCAAACGTTCAATTTCCTGGACGCTGCCTCGACCTCCCACACAGAAGCGTCGACTCGGCCAGCGGACGACCACTCGGCACGGGCTCTACGTATCGGCAGGCCAGCAACGCGAGGACGGACGCGCACGGACGGATGGCGTGAAGACACGCGTGGTACCGTATTAGCTGGGTAAGCATCTCGAATGCTCACGCGCACGCACGACGCTGTCTGATCGTACGCCAGCTACGTCCCCGTCGCGACTCCCACTTCGTAGTTGCACCCAACGTTCCCTCTGTCGCACTTGGGTGGCCAGCCGCCTCTCTCGATCCCAATCTCGCCATCTCTACGCGCCGCGCACGTCGATGCGGATCACAGTCGCGTCTAGCACCCGTGTGCTACTGTACGGCCAGGGTCCGTGAACGGGTGGCCTGAGACACGCGTTTGACGCTTTCCAGCTCGGTATGTGCGACTTGGTTGACTGCTCTGCAGCCCGCAGAATGGCCTCCTGAGCTGGCGGCGCTGGAGAGGGTTGAGTGGCGGTACGTGTCCGTGTGTCGTGTGCCGCGATCTTCACTGACGACGGGCGAGCTACGTCAGCACGCACTAAGTCAGGATGAAGAT